AAGGGGACAGGTTTCATGCTCAAGTGCATACTGTAGGCTGTGGCAGGTCAAGTGCATATTCTCTTCGGTGCCATATAGTCTTGGTGCTGAACATATTGGAATGGCAACTGGTGCCACAAATGTTTGCTGCGTGGCCTTCGCTGCTGAATACAACCCAACACGTTTCATGTTCCATGTTTTTCTTTGGTATTTAGCTAGTACTAATAAACATTAGTATTGTTGTAGGAAATATTTCCTTTCCCCGCTCCAAGAAAAGCACAGTTTTGCCATGATGTGATTGTAATGCAAAACATGCAATAGCCAACGATAAATTCACATAGCCAGCTCATGCATCAGATACAGTGCTGTGCAGGAATGCTGCCAAAACATTTCTTCCAACAAGGTTTTCAATAAATCCAGCAAGGCAGCTATTACCTCAATGCTGTTCATCCAGCAGCCATGTTCTTATGAAGCTAATTTGTTTGTCGGTTGGTTTATAGGGTTTAACATCCAAAAGAGAATCTAGCTGTGAGAGAGAATGTGGTGGAGGGCTTCGGATAATTTTGACCCCTGCCTGGCGTTTTTGATAGGTAGTGATACCACACAGCACATGGGACTGTAGAATTTTGCGTCCACCAAATTGCTACTATAGCCAGGATCGAATGGTCTTTCAGGTTGGTAGACGAGCACTGTAATCACCAGGCCATCATTGAAGCTATGAATGAAGGTGATGGAGATTATGGATGAATTTTGATTGATTGGTGAATGATTTCACCAACTTCCCTTCCTGTTCAGCTTTCAACCTCACTTCTACTTATGGCGGCACAGGACACCATGCAAATTGTTTCGAATGAGGAAGATAAGCAGCTGCCATGGCAGCGGCCATTGGGAGGCATGGTAAAGAAAGTTTGATGCCAAACTATGCAAAGACTTATCATGAGGTCTCAACTTTTGTCATAGTCCAACAGCGTGAATGTGTATACACAGCAACACTTTGGCTGGGTTTGTAAAAAACCATAGTATTCATAACAGGATGTTCTCCACCCCTCTAAACTTGTTTAGTGTTTAGGGTGCAATAACAGCAGTTGGCAAGGTGTGAACAAAACCTAGGAGGGGCTGAGAAGTCTCTTGATGGCCATCAACAAGATAAAAAAAAAGGTCATGTTCACAGTGGTGGTGATGTTTAAAAAAGCCCAGCTGTTCACGATACTATCAGGATAAACAAGAAGCCACATATTCGGCCTTGTTTGCTCTGCTAGTCCGAAAAAACTACTGTGGACACTAATTGAGTTCTCGAAACCTGAAGCGACCAGCCATAGGTTTGTCTAGAAATGTCACTTGGAGCTGGGCTCGAAGTGAAAGTGGAATAATGGGAACTCAATGATGACCCGTGGAACGAAACATGTAGCAGTATAGTATGGAATTCTCAATTTTAGGATCATTCAACTGCTGACAAAGCCAGACATCATGAGGACAAGTTTCACAGCCAAGACGTTCCACAAGTTAGGAGTGGTATCATATTCACTATTTTGGTGGTTGGTCTGACAAAAAAGTTTGTCAGCATAACCAAAACTGCCAAAGACTCATCTACACATTTGCTTGTAGAAGGGACATAGCGGGCAGCATTTGACGATGATGGTAACACAAGTGGAAAAAAGCATTTGCATTGTCTCTCGCCAGACTTGCAGGTGACATTTAAATAATGTTCTTGTGGCCCAAAGATTCAACAATCACCTGGCCATTCAGGTGCCGGCACAAAGTGTGGTCGGTAACATGGAGATGAAGCCGGAAATGTTAAATTAACCAGACACTAGTGAAGAGTTCGCTTTGTAATGTTTTCTCTACTGTTTTACGAGTATAACTTGCATATGAAACTACACATTTTCTTTTCAGTAGATTTGTGACAATCTTTTGACGACGCTGTAGCCATTGGCGTCGGTAGGTGAAGATGGACCACTTATTCAGAGGTGAAAGCTTGCTTATGGGGTGTTCAATAGGCCATACATGTAGAATACTCAACAAAGTCAGCTTAACGGTGGTGAAATCATGTAGGAATCATTGTATGTAGTGAGGCCTGAGGAAGCAAGGGGTGGCACTAATTTAATTTCGGTACGGCCAAATTCAGTCTGCTGACAAGGTAGCCAAAGAATTAATCATTTTTGTCGTGAAGTGGCACATTGCGAAGTTGTTGAAAATAATTGCACACAATATAATCACAAAACAGCAACTCCACAACAAAACATGTGCAGCTACGTTACATGGTACACCAAGCTTTGTCTCGCAATCAGTTGCTTGACAAATGACAAATGCTTGACAAATGGCCGCTCGATCCTGCTGGCACTCACAGGACTGTTGCTTCAATAGTAGACGAGCTCGACTTGCACGTGGAAACTGTGCTCAGGGGACGTATTATACAATGCAAACTCTGCCACAAATTTATAATTGAGCACCTCCAGTATGGAGGAGGTCTTTTTTTTTTTGTCCCCTATTGTTATGCCCGAAGCTGTGAAATACCATGATATAAAACGCTGCTTGCTTTGAATATCATATTTGCGGACACATAGGGATACAGCATTGTAAACCTGGTGCTTTATTGAAGCAAAGCACTTGAACCCACTCCAGTTAACGGCCTGTTGGCACCAGTCTGCTGGTACGAAAAGTAGCGCAACTGCAGTTCGAGTTGTTCGACCATTGTGAGCACGAATGACAGCTTTATTTAGATTTCAGAGGCTTGCTTGTGTATCGTCTATTGCTGATAGAGCGAACCTTTATTTTGTAGGCCATCAGAAGAGAGCAAACAACACGTGAATATGTGGTGCTCACTGCAAGATTCCTGCCAAAGTTTTAATTGTGCAATATAGCCCTTGAACTTAACAGCTGTTACATTTTACAGCGATACATTCCTTATCTCATTTGTTTTCAATAATTATATTTGGAGTGTAACGTCTGAAAACCGCGATATGATTATGAGAGACGCCATGTGGAGGGTCCCTGAAATTCGGACCATCTGGTAGCGTGCACTGACATCGCACAGTACACAAGCCTCTACCCATTTCACGTCCATCCAAATGCGACAGCCGCGGCTGGGACCGAACGCCCAACTTTCGGGTCAACAGCCGAGCACCTTAATCGTTACACCACCGTGGTGGACATTCGTTTTGACGCTGAAGCAGAACTTATGCGCCTTGAACCGGCACTCATGTAATGCGAGTGCCCGCAGCATCGAGCGGTTGCTGCAGATTTGTCCAGTGGCTTATCGCAAAACAAAGCTTGCTGTACCATGCAACCTGGTTGTGCATTTGTTGTAGTAGAGTTTCTGTCTTGGGATTATATAGCAGACAATTATTGTTAACAGCTTATATTCAATTTTAAGCCCATAATGAAAGTATAGTCGCAAGGCTGCCTTGGTCGCATGCAACGTGTTACTACTTGTTAGCAACAAAAACAACGCCATGTTCTTTCATGCACAATAATAGATGAGTCAGTTTTTTAACTTCAATTAGAGCAATTTCTTTAAATAAATTAAGAATGGCCTTTCTGAAAAAAAATTTTCAAACCTTCGTGTTTTTGGTAAACCACTTTTCTTTCATCACAAATGTGAAGTAAAACGCAGGACGATAAAACCCCAGAAGGTATTTAACAAGCAAGTGAAAGCATCAAATTTTATATGTACAGAGCTTTAAGATTCCCAGTTTAAGTTGTTTGTAGCAATAAATTCCTGAAATGTATTTTGAGGGGTTTGACACGTTTGAGATTTTTCTACCTCAAAAGTTTTTCACAAGGTAAGAAAAATAATTAACTCAGAAGATTTTATATTACTTGTTTTTTGAGGGGAATAAATACTGTGATTAAGAAGCACTCCGTTTTTCACTTACATGTGCATGAAGTTTTGAAATGTGACCTCATCAGTCAAGCCCTCAACAACTTTGTTTCCGAAACGCAGGCGCGGGTTCGTTGAGTAGTTCAGTTTCGTATGTCGAAAGCACCATAAAACGTTTCGACTTTAGCTTACGAAACCTTCAGTGATTGGCTTCACATGTGAAAATTTGGCTGTGCAGCTGCCACTGCTGCACCACGACCACACTTTCAGGAACTGCATGTGGAGATAATCAGGAGAAGGTATTCGGGCTTACAGCTCTCATGACGACAAATCGCTGCATTACCATAGTAGTACAATTTTTAGTTTTTTCAGTAACACTCACTCACCACGTCTTGTGCTAGAGGACATGAGCAGATTTAATTTTTTCTTTTTTCAGTTTTTTATAAAATCTTTTATATTAAATATTCCTTTCAATATTCAATATTTTTTGGCCAGTATTTGTCACTATTTGATTCAAATTTTTTAAATGAAATATCACTATATTTGAACACCCACGTATATACCATTACAAATACAAGTGTCAGGTGTCATTTGTTATGAACACTCACCAACTCGTACATGGCAGCCCCGTCTTCTACATACACACCATCAGTTCCAAAGAACATTACTGGATCAAGAAAGGATAATCATTGGCATGTTCAGCATTGCCATAGGCCCAGCTTTAGGTTGTCCTGTTACTTTCATCATGTGAAGACTGAGGCAACAACCACTTTGAGTTTCAGAAATAACGCAGATATCTTGGTTGATAATGTATTTACAAGCTGTTTACGAGTCGAGGAACGGTAAACAAGTGAGATTGTTGCCATAAACTGGTCCCAGCTGAACTCCTCCAAACATCCTCTTTCGTTTACTAACTACTTTGATGCCACTACTTGTAGCACCATAGTAACAACATGCCTATTCCTGCCACAACTTAAACCACCACCACCACGGCATACTGCAGTTTTTAGCGAAATACTTAAGTTGGGATGCGGAAATTTCACACTTGCATACTTGGAAGCATGCATAAAGATAGTGCACAAAGAAAAACTGCTATGAAGTAAAAGCAATAAGGACTAATCATTAATTAATTTTATACTCACACATACAGACCATTAAAAATATCTGAAATGAAAGATTTGGTGCAACTATGCTCACCACTGCAATGAACAATTGCTACACTGTTTTATTTTCACATTTAAAAATCGTGTAAAACACAAAAGCACAAAAAAAATTTTATTTGTGCCTGCGTGTGCCAACAAGGGTAGATAGATGTTACCAGTTAAAGTGTGTGCATATCACTTGTGCACTGGCATGTTTTGAATCCACACATGTATCACTGATATTTATTTATCACTTCAGAAATGAATGACTAGGTACTGCAGCACACGAGTACTAGACTTGGGTAGTACAGCTATGACTGTAATGCTCATGATATGAATTATAACTGCTCTGAATACATATAGCATGTCTGTTTTCTAAAATACCTTAATATGGGGCTTAATAAATATTTCAAATCAAGGCTATGCTCACTGAATTGTCAAACGATAACATTTCTCATGATAATGAAAGTTGTGACAATTTGTGAAACTTGAAAGCTGCAAGTCGCTGCAGCTTTAGAAGCTCTATAAACGGTGCTGAATGGCACGGCAAGTTTAAGAGGAAATGGGTTTCGAAAGCATTTTTTTAATTTATCTGTAGTCTAGCGCAATGAAATTTTTTTTTTGCTGATTGTAAATATGTAATTAGTTTTTCAGTAAGTAGCACAGTTTTTGCATTGTGCTATGCCAATGTGTATAGTTCATTTTGAACAAATTTTTTTTGCCACTGAACTCTTTTGGTTCTGCGCCATTAATGGCTCATATTGCTCCACATTAACTGTTGAATGTAAATAACTATCAAGAAAGTGCGCATAAGACTTTTAGAATCCTCGGCCCATACTAATAGCTTACTATAGGGTTGTAATAAGTATACAAGCAATACAAAGTTTTAAAGCAGATACTTGCACCCTTCCAATGTTAAACATTATGGGGGCAAAAGTTCATCCTGATTTGGATATTGTAAGTATTAAAAACATGAAGTCTATACTCAAGAAGTTGCCCAAAACTGGATCTTGAGAAAAACACATTTTAAAGGTACAAGCCCAAGCTCATCTATACGACAAAGGTATGTTTTTTAAAATGATTTTTTCCATCATGAGAGCTTGGCAATCATAGTTATTTTAGGCATGTGCAACTCCTCATGCGAAATGCAATGACGAGCAGCTAGGTGACACGTGCCAGGCGACTCTGAACAATGAGCTCTTTTCAATTTTGTAGTAGCCACATATTATTATTTAAAAGTGATTTTAACCTACTTCGAGTTTAATTATTGTCTTCAGTGTTTTTTGTTATTGTGAAAGTAGGGAAACTAAACTTGTGAAAGCAAATAAGAACGAAATACTATATGTAATTATGGAGAAAGCTTACGTTTTTGACCTGCATCTTCCCTTAAAGATATTAAACAAGACAATAAACAGTTTCTCGCTCAGTGCCAGATAAGATGCATGTCTTTACTGTAATAAAGTTTGCACATTTCAGCTTAGTGTTCATGCTCTCACATAGAATTCAGTGTGCTGTACTAGAACCTGCTCTCTTTGAGAAGCCAAGAAATATATTTTAGGCAGTGCAAGGGCATATAAGGTTTCAACTTTTGAAGAGAGCACACAGAATATAACAATGGTACGAGATCAGCCTTTGATAACCAACTCCTCGTTGTGCCTTTGTATGATAGTATTATGCAGGAAGTGCAAACATGTGCTACATGCAGTAGGCAAGATTGTGGCATGATTTTTCCACAGTGTGCACGTGTATGTTTACAAACAATGGCAATGACTCAAACTCTGTAATTGGTATTAGCATACTCCTTCAATGGTATTTGAAATATGTTGTAGCTGTGACAGGTTTCTACATCTCCAAGGCCAACCCGAAATGCGTAAAAACCGGCTTCCAACTAGCTGAATAACAAACAATGCAAGCAGGACGTGCATGGGACATGGCATGCACACAGAGTTGTTTTTCAGCAGCATATTGCAGTCAGTTAAGTGTCATTTGTGCCAAAGAAACAATATTCACAAAATTCCTTTATATTGTTTTGTGCTGACATGACTGGCAGTGCAATGGGGTTACATGGTTCACAGAGGTAGGAAAGCTATCAAAGTGGATGGAATGTGATTGCATATATTGCTATGCAACTGCTTTTATGTTTGACTTATAAACAATAGAGAAACTAGGGGAATGACTAGTTAAAACATATGCATGGGCTATTCTTTACGAAAAAAAAACTTGGGTTTTTAACAGTGGATTCATGTGTCATGCGATGGCACAAAGTTTTTCTCAGCTGCCAATCACCGGTACAAAGTCATTTGATTCACAATGTCCTCCATAGATGTGTCGCCAAACTTGTCACTGTGTGCTGCCATCAGCCGGTAGATCTCTTCTAGCTGCTTCCTCTGAGCCCTAGCAAAGTAGCATAAAAATAAATCATGCGGCAGCAGGTCAGGTTTTTACAAAATTATATTTGCATGCATGTTCCTAAACCTTTGATGAATTTCATAACGCAGCATAATAGCTGTAGTTTTGTGATGTCGCTACTATTGTTTTCTGGACTCAAAAGTAGCATGAGCAAACAAATTACACTTAAAGTTTTTAAGCAATGCAGCTTTAGGGAAAACACAGCATCTTCCAGTTCTTCTGCAGTTTTTCTTTTTGTATGTGTGTGTGAAGTCTTGCTCTTGAGTCCTGCGGAGTCCTGCAAGATGGCAGGAGGATTACAAGCTTGCTTTCTGATAAATCCGTAAGAATTTCCTTATGGCTTTGTGTGGCAAACTGGTGGTTGTCTATTTTTCCTTTCTTACTCCTGCTCAGTGTTGCCAGGTATGGCTACTTTGCACCAATTACGTAACTTAGAAATTGGTGTGACATAGTTTTGCTACCAACACTTCGCCTCAGAAATGACATGAACTGCTACTCGGCTTAGTTATTTATATGCATAGTGGCATTTTTAATTACATGGCTTGGCTCGTCCATTGAAAAATAGCAATGCCGAGACAAGCCACCCATGAGACAGGCACGAGCGACCTTCGACACAGGTGAACACAGGTGCACATAGGTGCATGCAACATGGTACAAATACAAGGAAGGCGTACAATGCTGCATCATCTCCTTGTAGCAGTTTGTATATGAAGCTGGTTAATAAGCATAGTTGCAGGAACTCCTGCAAGAGCAGAATGATGATAGCTTTCACAAATCGCGAGAAGGGCTGAGGGCATCACTATCAATTCTTAGTGTTGCTGGAGGAAAGGTACATCCCTGCTTAGAGCCTTTCAGATCGAAAAATACTGTTTGTAAAATAACTATGTGCTTTTGGGATTAACTACTGCAGCTACAAACACTGCGAACAGTGAGCCTCCTGTTTTGCCATAAAAGCATGGGTCCAGGAAAATCAGTAGTCGGTCCCTTTAAACTGCAATTAAAACTGAACAGGACAATCAAGAGCCTCGCGTCCCCGGAATTTGTGCACTCGTAAACATTGGAAAGTGAATGCCTGACAAACTGCTTGCGTCATTTCTAACAGGTGCAGACTTCTACTCATGAATAATAACTGTTCACAACTTGTCATGACAGAAGAAATGACTGCTAAACTTTTATTTATGCTTCAAAGCAAGCAACTAATTTTGAGTGTGCTCATGCTTTACTCATTTTTTTTTTATTCTTGCCATAGGATGCATGAAATGAGTGTCATTTTTTGCAACATTGCAAGAAACCTTGTCATCTTGTACAGAATGATAGTTAAAGTCAACAATTTATGGTTGAATCAAAGCAATTCTCGTATTGAAGGGCTCATGCTGTATTTTTTTTTATATTTTGACCAATTGCATTTAGTAAGTTAAGTAAAAATGCCACAGTTGTTTTCACACATGCATGGCTACTTTTTGGCTAATTTTACAATTTTCTGGCTATTTTTGTCTTTTTTTCAAACAGGCAACGCTGACCCAGCTGTGTTCTTTCCTGACTAGATAAGTCTAAAAACAAGAGTATATACTTTACAAATGATGGACTACAACAGGCTGGTACTTTGCAGTTGGCAAGATGAGGTAAAAAAAATCTCATTCAATTCACTTTTCTTACTTTGTGATATAAGAAAAGGAGTGCTAATGAAGCTATCTTCTTCATTCGGTAATGCAGAATGCTTCAAAGAACAACCTGTTCTCTTCTCTGCATATAAGTTAACAAAGGATGCCCATTACAGTAAAGTTGGCTACATTGAGATATTCAACAGTGATTGCAGTAGTTGTTTTTACTTGTGCACTGTTCCCACATCGTCACAGTGAAATGTGCATAGCACATTGGTTCAATATTTGTGCTCCATATTCTACACTGAATAGTTAGACAACAAGTTTAACAAATACATGCATAACTCAATGTGCTTCATAACCATCAACCTAGACCTAGAAAAGAGCTTCATTTCAGCTTCAGAAACATTCCAATGTCCACCTGTTGTAGGTTTACATCATAAACACTGCATTAAAAAAATGTGTAATGCCATTCACTGCACGATTTACAGGGCATACTTCAAGCATGTCCATAGCTGAAAACATAGCACTCAAGATTTTACCTTTTAATGTTCATTTTCCAAAACAATTTCCTCTCAAGAAAATAAGTGACAAGGCTGAATGCAGCTTTTGTCATCTACTCGAGTGTCCACACAGCCACGAAACTCTTTAAAACTGTGTGAGAGAGAGACAAAACTTTATTTTTTGTTCTTGCTGGGGTCAAGGGAGGCAGGGCTCAGACTAGCCCTACTAAAACCCTTGTTCCTCAGTTAAGGTGACGGAAAAGCATAAACATGACACTTTAAAGGATCGATTTTCATGTGCATTCGCCACCTAAAAGTAACAAAAAGTAATCGTGCCACTAAGTTAATGAACCAACAGAGTGAAACAGCTATCGTTTTCCGCACTCACTCTTTTTCCAATGTCTTCTGCTCTTCAGTCATTGTAGCCTCAATTAGTGACTCGGCCGCTTTGGCTGCCTGTGGTTTCGCAGTCATCCTCTCCTTCTCCTCTTCAGATAATTCACAAGAATCAACGTCCTGAAAAACAAAAAAAAATGCTCATGTGAAACCTACATTTCTCATGTCTTGTATAAAGCTGTACATACATGGCTGCAAGCAGCAAAAAAAAGGAAGAAAGAAAAGAAAAGTAGAAATACACAGTAAACTTGAGCATTCGGAAAAGCATTAAAAGGGAAGAATACATCGAATAGGAAATTGAAACAAAAAGCATGGCACATTTTTAAATATTGTTACGTACAATCCAAATGGTGTACGAATAACTGTTTATTGGGGCTAACTTGTGCCCGAAAAGTAAAAGAAAATGTAGCGGCGTTTCTACAGGCGATCAGCAAAAGCGGATCAATCTCCGAGAGGCCCTCGAGCGGTGCCCCACTTCTTTTTCATCAAAATCCCGTGCTGAGGAGGCGGGCGCCGTCACGGCCTTTTCTTGTCTCATCATTAAGCCGCTGGTCTCTAGGGGGGCGCACGAACTAGCGCGCCTAGTTTGTATACTGCGTCTGCCTTGCGCCATTACCCCTTGTCTAAAAACGCATCGTCCTGATGCGTAAAAGCAGCGTTGCTGAGACGGTCTGAATGTGTAGTTTCCATTGGAGAAATAGGTATTCCTCATGATTGGGTGTGTATAGTTCGATGTTCATTGCCTGTCATAGTATGGCTTCATTCTGACAACATGCACGATTTCTGTGCTCCTTCGGCATCTTGATGAGCTCACTTGTCCTTCCGGTGACACCTCGTAGTTCAAGGAGCTGACGCGATGAAGGACTCGGTAAGGGCCGAAATAGAGGAGAGGGATAGAGAGAAGTAAACGTTTATTTTGAAACAGTGTTCCGAGCAATGCCCGATGTCACCCTGAGGTGGGAGGGCTCCTTAGTCCAGGAACCCTCTGGCTTCTACTGCCCTCTTGGCCCTGGCGACAAGTTGTTGTTGCTCGTCCAGGTCCTCGAGGGCGAGCTTCGCCTCCCACGTTTCGGTTAGGTCTTCGTTCGTCCGTCCTGCTTCGTTATCAGTCGTGTGTTGTTGCAGATTACGTCTGGCAATACACTGGCATGCAAGAAGCAAGTGCGCCAGGGTGTCCGGTGCGTTGCAAAGCGGACACATAGAGCTATATCTCGTTGGGTAGAGACGGTGCATTAGGGCCCCATGTGTGTATGTGCTGCTTTGCAGGCGTCTCAGTATTACGCTTTCCTCTTTTGTAAGTTTTGGGTGTGGTGGAGGGTATACTCGTCGCTCCAGCCTGTAATGCTGGAGTAACGACGAGTAGATGTTTTGAACAACTTCCGTCTCTTCAACGACAGATCGAATGTCCTGTGGGCAGGGGGCAGCCCGGCTGACGTGCTCGCGGGCAGCGGCGTGGGCCGCTTCATTTCCCTGCAGACCCTCGTGTCCTGGCACCCATAATACACAATTGTATGGGAGTGGAGTGCTTCGCCGTTTCAAAATATTGATGGCATTCGCTGAGATACGGCCCTTAGCAAAATTCCTGCAGGCGGCTTGTGAGTCGGTGAAAATCACCACGGCGTCTGTACATGTTGTGGTTGCTAGAGCGACTGCCGATTCTTCTGCGGCGTCTGAATTGAGTGCGTTGACTGTGGCTGACGCTAATTCTCGGCTTTGAGAATTGACGACGCTGACAGCATACGCGTTTCTATGCGGATACTTGGCTGCGTCAGTGTAGCGGGCGTCCGAGTCTTGCTTGAACTTGCGTCGAATAGCGTTAGCTCTAGCCTTGCGTCTACTTTTGTGGAAAGTAGGATGCATGTTGCGTGGAATAGGTGCGATGGACAGCGACTCTCTAATGTACAGCTGGATGCGCTTTTTCCGGTCTGCATTGGCGATGAACGTGTCGCTGTAGTTGAGGTACCGGAGCACCGACCTCTCCCCGTGGGCGTCAGCTTGAGCCTCTCCAGCTGACTATTCCTATGCGCTTCAATGAGCTCTTGCCACGTGTTGTGGACGCCCATCTTTAGGAGACGTGTGGTAGAAGCCATTGGCGGAAGTCCCAGGGCTACTTTAGTGGCCTTTCTTATCACGATATTAAATTTTTCAATTTCAGCGGTTTTCAAATTTAGGTACGGCGTGCCGTACGTAATGCGGCTGGTGAACAGAGCTTGCATTATACGTAGCGTGTCGTGCTCTTTGAGTCCGTTTTGTTGATTCGTGATCCTCTTGACGAGGTGCGTGAGTTGTGATAGTGTCCGTTGGAGTCTCGGTATGGTGGCAGCTCCCGATCCATCCTTGTAGATGTGAACTCCAAGCACTCGCAGGGTCTCGACTTTTGGAATTACGGTCCCTTTCAGCGTTACGCTAGGGTCGGGCTCGTCGTATAGAGGGGGTCTGCCTCTTGTTCTCGCTTTGAGGACGAGGTGCTCGGATTTCTTGGGGGCACAGCAGAGACCGCAGTCTCTGAGATACCGTTCGATGGAATCTACGGCGGTTTGTAGGCAGGTCTCTTGTCTCCCAGTGTTCGAAGCCCTGGTCCAGAGCGTGATAATGATTAGTGGAGTTTATTGGCGCAAGGGCCAGATGTGGCCAAAGAGCGCCAGAACGATGATAATGAATTGTACAATGTGCAGTGTAGATAAAACAGATATGACGTGGCTGTAAATGGGCCTAAAAAACAGTCGCTGTAGGTGTGTAAAAATATATATATAGTAAGATTATGGCAATGACAAATGATGTGTGCTATGGAGACATAAAATGGTTTAAAAGTGATATGTATGTGAAATAAAAACTTGGCATGGAGCACCAGTGCCTCGACAAAACCCTTAAAACAAGAGCATGGAGGCCTAGGCTCATTAAAAGCTGCTATCACAGCGGTATCCTCTGAACAGAGGATGCGCTATGAACCTGTTTGGCTAAAAACATTCAATGTTAGGCTAAAAACATTCAACACTACATCCTTTAAAAAGCTTAAAACAGATTTTGCATCGAAAAGCGGCTCTTCGCCGAGGAACATAATCGGATGTAAAGGAAGATTATAGCGGTATGCTAAAGCAAAATATTTTTTTCTCTCACTTTCAGCTTCCGGACACTCCAGGAGGACGTGGAGGACGGTTAGCCTCTCACCACATCTACCACAAGTAGGAGGCTCATCGCCAGTCAGCAGGAAGCTATGGGTACCATAAGTGTGTCCTATTCTGAGGCGACAGAATAGGACATCAGTTCGCCGTGTTCTTGTAGCGGAGGGCCAGTAACCCAACCGCGGCTTAATCAAGTGAAGCTTATTATTTATTTCTGTGTCCCACAAGCGTTGCCAGTGGTTTCGCAGTTTCTTACGTAGGAAGGGTTTTAGATCTGTTGCAGGGACAGTAGCGGTGGGGTTAATAGCACGCAATATAATTGACGTGGCCATTTGGTCAGCTAACACATTGCCCTCGATGCTTCTATGGCCAGGAACCCAGCAAATAGTAACATGCTGGTTGGACATGTACGCAGTACATAGGACGGAATACAACTCAATTATAACCGAATTTCTGATTCTGAAAAGGGATCTTAATGCATTTACGATGCTTAATGAGTCTGTGAATATAATAGATTTTCATATGTTTGACTTCCGTATATGTTTCACAGCCGACAATAGTGCATATCCCTCAGCCGTAAATATACTTGTTTCCGGGTGCAGCACACCGGATTCCGAGAAGGATGGTCCGACGGCTGCATAAGCCACCCCTGCATGCGACTTAGAAGCATCAGTATAAAACTCTACGCATGAGTAGTTGGACTGAAGTTGTCGGAAATGCATTTTAATATGTGCTTCTGGTGCATGTTTAGTGATCTCGACAAAGGAAGTGTCACAATGTATGAGCTGCCACTGCCACGGCGGTAAATGTTTTGTTGTGGGCATAGGACAAAGTTCTAGCAGCGGAACACCCATTTCCTCACTTAAGCTTCTCACACGCAAAGAGAACGGCTTTCTCGCTGCGGGTCGATTATGGTAGAGGGTGGCAGCGGTCATATCGTTTATAGCTGAATAAGAAGGATGCTTTATGTTTGCGCGTACCTTTATAAAATAAGTGAAACTGCTATATGATCGCTGTAGGTGAAGTGACCACTGATTTGACTCTACATAGTGACTCTGGATCGGACTTGTCCTGAAAGCACCGGTTGCCAGTCGGATACCCAGATGGTGAATGGGGTCTAGGATTTTCAGAGCACTTGGCGTTGCGGAGTGATAAATTATAGAGGCATAATCAAGGCGCGACCAAACAAGGCTTTTGTACAAGTTCAAGAGACACTTCCGATCACTACCACATGTTGTACGTGATAGGAGCTTTAGGACGTTCATTGCTCTCAGAAATTTCATTTTTACATATTTAATATGGGGAATAAACGTAAGCTTAGAGTCTAAAGTGGTTCCCAGGAATTTATGCTCGCTTCTCACAGAGAGTTGGTCTCCCTTGATCGTAATATTTGGAAGTGGCATTACCCCTCGTTTGTTGGAGAAGAGTACGCAAGTACTTTTCTCAATGTTTATTTTAAAACCATTCTCATCTGCACATTTAGAGAATTTATTCATTCCAAGCTGCACTTGTCGTTCGCAGATAGACATATTGCACGATTTGAAACTCATCTGCACATCATCAACGTACACGGAATAAAACATCGCGCATGGAATTACTGACTGCAGAGAGTTCATTTTTACAAGAAAGAGTGTGTAACTAAGTACGCCCCCTTGCGGAACACCAGTCTCTTGGGTAAATGATCTAGAGAGAGAATTTCCCACTTTTACGTGAAAGGTTCTGTTAGACAGATAACTTTCAATTGTGTTTAACATGTTCCCATGAATGCCCATGGCGGCAAGATCGCGAAGAATCCCAAATCGCCATGTGGTATTGTACGCTTTCTCCGAGTCTAGGAATACCGAAAGTACAAACTGCCTATGAATAAATGCATCTCTGATGTATGTGTCTATGCGAACAAGGTGGTCTATTGTCGAACTCCCCTCTCTGAAACCACACTGAAGAGGATCTAGTATACTCTTACTTTCTAGAAAGTGAATTAAGCACCAGTTTAGCATT